TCACTTTGATTTAATGCCTTTTTCATATGCATCAGCTGGTAAGGGATGGGTATGTGCTATCGAAAATTAATTCAACAACTGAGATCGGTCACATGTATACTGCTACTGGTGCATTTCATGCTCATGTTCTTTGCAGAAGAGGTCTTCACAGCCGGCGATCCACCAAAATCCTTGTGCATGCGAAGGCCATCGATCTCGCGGTAACCCAGAGCGACCACTCTGCCTAAGTGTCATTCCATAAACTGGAAATCAGCACAGTCTTCAGTTCTGATTTCCGCTCATGATGTTCTCACGTGGTGACATTTTAAGGGTGTATGAGGTCCCCTCTTCTGAAAAAGCAAGGCACCATGTGACCTGAGGAATGTGCACAGAATGTGTGTTTCATTACCGGGATTTAAACCCTATACCTTCCCTCGGACTGCATTAACCAGCCTACGTGCAGGATGAATGAATCCCTCCCTGCCCCTTGAATTTGTCTGGAATTGTTGTCGAAGGGTGGGGTGGGGTATGGTGTGGTGTACGGTGTCCCTGTGGTCAGTGTTGGGCATTCCAGGTTCAGAAATTTTGTTTCTACCAACCAGTTGAGCATAAAGAGTCAAAGTCACAGAGTAATCCAGAGTACTTAACTAGTTGGTTGAAACAAAATCTTGGTCTGGATTTGTAGCTTCTGGACCTGAAATGCCCAACACTGCTTATGGTGAAAGTGCAATGAATATATCTGCAGTGCTTCCATTGCCCCAGATATTTGATCTTATATGAATAACATTTATGTTCTTTCTTCCAATGTTGGTTGGCCTCTCAGCCCTTAGAACTGAGGAGGCACTTTGTGTGGTGGTGAACCTGGCAGTGCCCTATATGGTTGGCTAAGCGCACATTCTGTTGATCTGTTCCATATGTCTATCCTGCTCTACTCTGCCCTGCTTGAGTTTTGCAAGACTGGCCAACTATGCCGTCATCTACAGACGTGCACCTACGACAGGGCTATCTTTTGATCTTGAATCCCATCAGTAGCAGAAGAAGAAGGTGGACTTGCATGACTTTTATTCATCCTAGTAGACTTTGCATCCACAGGCCGCTGAGCCCCTCCCCAAACCCGTGAACATCAACGCTTCTTCAGCAATGCTCATGATAGTGTTACCCTGAATGTTTTATCGGCCAGTGTAAGGTGACGGTTTAACCACCGGTCGTGAAGCGTCTGATAGTCCCCTTGAGGTCGAAGATGGAGTGGGATGCGTGTCGAGCCAGTGGGGAATGATGACAGACATGAGGGACAACAAGACTGAAAGGATATTCTTTCTCAACACTAAGAATCAAAAACAGGAGACAAAACTTACAGATATAGCTATCAGGGGCCTGGGGGCGGCTTGTCCTGTCAGAATATTTAAAAGTTTGAAAGTTTTGATTTGATTTCACACAAACATCTCATGTGTTGATATCTGAAGAGCAAATTTCCAAAACTTAATCTGCCAATGACCTAAAGTCAGGATTTCTCATCATATGTTACAGTATCCGGAATGCAAAACTCACTCAGCCCAATGAATAACTTTCATTAAATTCCCAGAACTCACTAAGTACGCAGAAACGGTACCTACTTATGAACTATATCGATGCCAGTGATGCAAAGTTAGCAAACAAAAATGATGGAGGATAAATTTGGTGATTTTAAGGTAAATGTTTCTGAGTCAAATAAATCAAACAAAAACGCAAAAAGAGAAATGGAAAAAGGACATAAATATAAATATATAAATAATAAATATAAGAATGACTGGAAGCAGCAAACACACATATCAATACCAAGTCATGAACAATACAAATGCGTGAATAAATGTAATAAGTGAAATATTAATAGATACTTGAAAAGTAGTTGATTTTCTCAAAAACGTATCCAATGGACTGGGCAAGCTTTGTAAATTTGCCCTTCATTTGTCCAAACTTCTCATGCAGGATATTTGCATATCTTAAAGAGCTTAGCTGATCATGTCTGATCAGGCCCAGAGCTGGACACACATTCGGGCAGCACAGACAGATCCAGGCAGCTTTCTCCACAAACACGCACCCCATTTCCCTGTGACCTCCAGCACCATCTTCTGCATCCATGCATCTTTCTTGCTCAGCCTACGACATCACATCCTGTATGTCCGTAATTTTTGGAGCAGGGAGCAGGTTAGCGGTTAAGCCCCAGGGGGAGTCTAGCTGTCATACGCTTCAGCATGTCACCTGACCTGGATTTCTCCTGGAAAATATCCAGATGCGAAAACGGTAGGATGATTTTATCAGGACCTTCATCAAGGACATGCTCTGTAATATCAGTAAGCTAAACAGGGTGAAAAAAACACGGTTACTCACTTTATAACTTTTCTGAATAGCAACAGGTAATGCAAAATGGTGCTCAAAGAGCACATATGATGTACTGATCACATGGCCAGCACAGTGGACCCACCCGCCCAGCCAATGGGTGCAGGCTGTCCCACCTGCCCAGCCAATGGGTGCAGGCTGTCCCACCTGCCCAGCCAATGGGTGCAGGCCATCTGACCAAAGGGGACTGGTTGGTTCTGAATGTGTTTCTTAGTTTTTGGCGAGTCAGCTGCGGGTTTCAAGGTTTCCTTGGTGTCCGCCTCTGCTCAACTTACAGATGTGCTATCCTGCAATATATGAAGTCTCTTATGTCTTCTTTATTATTCTGTTTAATTGAAATTACTATAATCACTGCTGCTCTTAACTTTCTGCAGTTTCAAAGCTGCAGCACACAATACTTTGCAATACAAATTTAAATTTATAAAGCCAGAAAGAAAAGCGCCCCACAAACTGAACTGCCCTTCCGTTGGGGAGCCACAACACCCCCCCCCCCCAAACCCACCCCAAAGTTTCTCCCAAAATACTCCAATTTAATAAGCTCTTCAGTTTTTCACTGACCTCCTTCACTGTATCACTGGCTGTGTTTTTCTCTATCGGCGTCATTTAATAAATAAATGCGGCTAATTATTAAGACTGCCTACCACACTGATGAAAGTTAACCACATAGCCGATTGATTAAAAAAAAGTCAGTCCAATGGCTGGTGATACGTTTAATGTTTCCAGCAGCCAAACCCATTGCTGCTCCTGCTCGCTACCATCTCTCTATCTTTCCATTTCCCCATCATGCAGATGCAAATACCCATGTGGGATCACAGCTCACGATCTGTCAGAACGACGATGCTCCTTTTAACCAGATAATATCACTCTGCTTCTGGATTCAGCAGTAAACACAGTGGTCACTCCCGTTTGTTGTTTTTTTATTGCTTCCCGTTTCAGTGTATTCAGGTATGTTTGTTTTGTGGAGGTTGGCTCGGTATTCGCTGAGCCCGGGTACATGGACTGTGGGAAGGTTTTGTGGGAAGGTTTTTTTTTTGGGGGGGGGGGGAGGTTATCTGGATGCATTGAATGTGCTTTCCGAGCCCCTGTACTTGTAAACACGCAGTTTCGTGTAATTGCTCGTAAATAACTTGCCATTTGTAGTCCAGTGCGCAGAGCCAGATCCCTTTCAAAGGGCCCGGGGTGAAGTGGTGAGGTTTAGGGGGGGCTGTCAGCCTCGTTAGCCAGCCTGAATCGGGGGCCTCAGCTGGGGAAGGATGCAGCTTAGGACAGGGGGGAGACTGAGGTGGGAGGGTTAAAAAATGGGGGGAGGAGGCAGCAAAATCCCTGGACACAGCTCAGCAGTGACGGGGTGGGGGGGGGGGGGGGGGGGGGGGGGGCAGACAGACAAAGCCTGTGCCCTAGGGCTACCCACAACTCCAGACGCCTGAGGGTCCCTCAATAATAGATCCCTAAAGGATACCCCCCCCACCTCCTGCCAAACAACCACTAATCTTCTCCTTCTGAAATAGCGAATGGTAGCAGCCAGACAGTAATACTATACTAGGCGACAAAATCAACATTTGTTTATTTAATTCAGGTGGTGGCAAATTAACTTGCCCTGAGTTTATTGGTTAGTATAACGGCACCTCCACCCAGTGTGGAAAAGATGGCGAGCGTTTCTGAGCGGTTGTCAAGAGCGTTTGATCCAGTAGGTAGATCAGTACGCTGGGCTTCATGTGTACTGAAGTTGTATCCCCATTCAGCCAAACGGCAGCAATGCTCAGCCCAGAAACGCTACTCCAAACCACAGCTATTTACAACCACTGTGGGGCAGCACTCAAATGGGCCAAATATGCATTTTTTTTAAATCATTATTATCATTTTGAATTTAACAGTTTTCCAGCCCGTGTCAGATGTTCCGGAGATTAATTGATTATATTTGTCTGTTTTTAGAACAGACGTAAACTGTAGAACAGGTGCTCAAAGGTCGTATCGTGTGCTCTGCTAAAACCAGCGAACAAAGCACTGATTTTCAGCCTCTCAGGTCCGCACGCTAATCCCGCTAATACTGTCCATCTTAATAGCCTATAACACATACGTTTCTCCATAAAGTGCATATCATACATATATTACAGTGTAGATTTCTAATTTTAATCTTGCTGAGCTGCAGCCAGCTCTTTGGAAAATCATATATCTGCGTAATTTAGTTTTTTTGTCATGGTAACAATAATAAAATTAAATGAATTAAAAGAGGCGTGAAAGAACACGGAACTAAAATGCATTAAATATCGTTGTCCTAAATTTTAGAATACAGACATTTTATCGTGCATACATTTCTTTTTACGAGGGCGTGTTTTACACGTGATTTTTACGGTGACCTCATGTGTTATGATTCACTGTTTTATGAGTCAGACCAGCGATCCTTTGAAAGTTTTCACCGAAACGCAGAAGCTGACCAGCCCCGGTGCCCGTTTTTCGGCAGCGTGATCGCATCCGGCGCATTGCCCCGTAGCGATCGCCACTAAATCACGACTCAGCCTCGGTCAATATATAGACATAATCGCGGTTGGACCGGTCACAGCCCCCCACCCCCGGCCCCGCTATTTTCCATAGGAGAGGAGTGCACGTCCTGCGAAGGGAGGGGGAGAGGAATGAGGGATCTAGGGGGGGGGGGTGACCGTGATACTGCCTCATCCGTGTAACTGGAGACTAGGGGCTCAGCCAGCTCCATGCACACAGCGTGCGAAGCCAAAGAGCTGAGCGCTGAGCCATCGGGGCGAAAGAGCGAGAGAAACCGGGGGGATATAGAAGGACGGGAGGAAACGGAGGCAGTTCAACGCAGGGCAGCGAGGGAGCGAGAGGGAGAGAGAGAGGGAGAAAAGGAAAGAAAGAAGCGATGCCCAGTATACAGTTCGCATCGTCGCAGAACGTGACCATGCTCCTAACACAATAAAGCCATCGGGATAGGACTGGGGATAAATAAATACCCAGAAAGCTGGAAACTCAGTCGACAGCCGTGGTACGGTCAAAATGAAGAAGAGCAATTCGGCCAAACGGGTGAGCTTTTCTAAACGCTTTCCTTGCACGGATTTTAAACTGCTTATGTGCCGTGGTCATGCCTTAAATTCACATCCACGGGAAAAAGGGGGCAAAACAGTACAATCGAATTAAGCTGCTGAAGCTGAATTAATGCCTCCCTGCGCTATGCTGCTTGACACGGGCTGTGGTTGTAACACATTGTTCTTGTCCGAACCGATGCATTGTGGAGATCCGTGTGTTCCCACGCCGCCTCGGATCCATCACATTTCTCGCATTTCCCCTAGATATTAGCCACCTTGTAATATTGATCGTGTTATTTTTTGTAATTATTTTGCAATGCCTCGAGCTGCAGACTAACTAGCAGCTGTAAGAATTGTGCTGTTTTAATGTTAGACGTTCACACTTACTGAGATGATGTAAACGGGGCTGAAGGATGATCTTATGGTCAGGGAATCCCGGTTACATTTTTATTAGCCACGCCCTTAAAATATAGGAAAATGGATTGTATAAATGACGCCAATTAGCATATATCGCACTAACTTTAGGCGTCGTGGGATTAAGAGGACATGTGACAGTTTGACAAAGGGACTTAGTTCCTGCAAAGTCGCCAGCGTTATAGTACAGGCTGTATGCTTTGAATCTAAATGAGGGGCTGTGGCTATATTTTGTCTGTGCGACGTTAAGTTGTAACTGTTTTTCATCCCCTGGACGCGCAGGGCCCGCAAGATGTCAACCAGGCGTCGTGTCAGCCAGACAAGACGGGCTGGATCCGCAAATTCTGTGGCAAAGGCATTTTCAGGGAGATATGGAAAAACCGCTACGTGGTGCTGAAAGGCGACCAACTCTTCATCTCCGAGAAGGAGGCAAGTTCCCCAACAAAGCCTTTCAGATGTGGCTATGGTGTTGTAACAGATTAGTCAATATACCAGTGTTGCTTTATGACTGTTGAGTTACACTACAGACGTTCTGTCGTTTAATGTGTTTCTAAATCACTGTACAGTTAAAATTATAAATACACCTCCTTATGCTGTAAGTGGATACAATAGGACGTTTTATTAAAAGCTTTAATTTCACTGTTATTACTTTGACAGTGCAAGGACTTGGTAACTTTTTAACTGCTACGAAGATCACAATTTAGACGTCCAAATAACAAATAAAACAGTTAATCCAGCTTCTGTTTATTAAAAGCAATATGAAGACCCGAAAAGTGAAATTTTGTCACATATATGTGGTCTATGCTTTCGTTTTTTATAAGATCCGTTTACAATACCGTTTTAAAATTTAACAGCGGCGATAATGGGACGAAAGCACCCCCATGACACCCCCTTCCTAATTAGAATAACAATTGCATAGTATTTGCGCGCGTAACTATAGGTTTACTGTTTTGGCTGCTGGGGGGCGTGGACCCCGGCGGGGGAGGGGGGTGGGTGTTGATCACGCAAAAGGAAATATGATCGGACCAATTAAAAAGAAAAAAAAACGTTTTAGCCAGCTGCAACGGGATTTCCAGTAAAGGGCCGGAATAACAGGCGCCCGAGCTCTAGCTTGCTCCGTGAGGCGACCAATTCACAAGCAGCAATGGAGAGGCGAGCTCCGCCAATGAAAGCTGGGCCCATAGGTCAATATTTTCTAGCGTGATCATACACACTGTGCACATGGGTGGCCAAAGATCTGAGCGATACAGATCAGTTGTTTCAACACTCAGGCAGGCTAGTTCTGCAGTGGAGGTAGCACATTATGTAATGTGTCTGTTTTTGTGCATGATAAGTTTGTGACGACTGAAGGTGGTAATATCTTAATTTTATTCTAAAGGCTATACTACTACACTATTAACGGAAACATTTTTGAGTTCTGTTCTTTGCAAATGAAACATATGCATATAAATTCATCTTGTTTTCTTATTTGTGCATCAAAAAGTTGTCAGTGGATAGCGAAAGGGTTAGGGGTTCAAATCCCACCTGGATACTTCGGTAACAGACGTATGGACAGGGTAATTTGGGTCAGATTTGCCTGGCGTGTATGAATGTGCTGGGTAATGGAGGAAGGGATTACCCCACCCTGACCTAGAGACCATGAATGGTTGTCAACCATGCAATGGAAAAATGGAATCAATATTCACATGTAGTCTGTCCTTCTGTGAGGGAGATCTGCCAGTCAGTGGTGTTTGTATGTAAATCTACACCAGTAACTGCTATTTTATTTTAACTTCTGGAAAAACGAAGAAGCGTCTTTTCTCTGTATTTACAAGGTATCATGCTGTTTCCTGTCTTTATTATAATATTACTGGGAGACATCTCTCAGTGCTATGTCGGGAAATTACAGCGTTCAAATGTCATTAAGTTGCAAACATCCTTTCAGATACACAACCTGTTTAGGATAAGAGGCACAGAATTTCATTCTATCCTCATCCTCCACTGCATATTTATTTTTCTTTGGGGCTTTCGCTCTCTTTTAATTGCTTCCAGAAATCCGTGTTATATGATGTATTTTTAATGTCAGGATGCGGCAGCGTTTAGGAAGTCCATCTTCCACTTGGGTTTTATTCATTTCCTCATAACCCGGCATTATCACCAGGCCATCTTTTATGCATTTTGTTTTCGAGTCAGCTCATGGGCCCATGTATTCCTTGTGCTGGCCGATGTCGTGTTTCCCGTCAGCAATGCAACCAATCGGGAGCTTCCTTATCCCGAAGCTCCACCCAGTTTATATGATTGGGAAATGAAGTGCATGAGTGTGTCATGTGATGAATCACATGTGGATTGCAGGATGTGGATAGCCTCTCTGGCAGTGCTGGGTCCTGCAGGCCAGCCTGGTAGGTGTCCCTTTCCTTCCTCTTTTGTGTAGAAGGCTTTAGCTGTTAAGAGTAAAAGCTGACACTGTAGCCAAGGCAGACCACTTAAAACGAATTTGCAATCTGGTCTGTGTTAAGCCGTGTGTGCTTTGACCGTTTCTTAAACGTTTGGCTACACCCCTGTCCCCCCCCCCCCCATCTAAGAGGAGGGAAACCCAAGCTGTGCCCCTCACCTGTGACGTGATTGGTGTCAGGTGACCGCCTGCAGCGCGATCAAAGGCCCGCGATGGTGTGAGCGCTGCCCTCAGGAAGCCTGTGAGCGGGGGGGGGTGCAAGAGGGAGAAACCCCGTGTTCAAGAAGAGGGGAGGCTGAAACCCGACGCCGCTGCCCGGGACGCATTGCGGCCCCAGAGCCAAGATGGCGGCACCGCCAAAACCACGCTCCTCACCCTGTGGTCTGGCGTAGCCCCGTTCCTCGTGTGTCTGGGAAGCCCAGGGTTTTAAAATGTTCCTGTTGAGGAGAAAACCCCAGTGACGGAAGATCTAGAGGCTGGGATCTGTGGGGGCTTTTGTCCGGAATGAATGGCTGCACGGTCCGTCGAACGTGAACTTTGGGACGAAATACAGCCTCTTGGCGCATGTTGTGAGGCCCAAGAATGCCAACATGCAGTGGGAAGGCCTTGCTGTGCTCAGGCCATCTCTCTGCCCCAGTAGCTCTTGGGATATAGGGGGAGCGTTCTGTGTCGGTCCCTAAGTGTTTGATGCTTCTTGTACGCATGTTCATGGGTGCTTCTCTTTTTATGCGTACAAGCTCAGGAACACAGCTCTGTTGCGTTTACCTGCATGTGTCTCTTTGAATATATGTAGGCAAACATGCATGTGAGCCTAATAAGCCACCAGAGATCCACCATGGAGACAGTGGGAGTACTGGGTGCAGTAGGAGGCAGTCCCAGCAACGAGGTGTATGTCTGCAGAGGCCCTCTGCGGTCGTGGTGGGTACATGCTCGTACGCTCCCATAATGCACGGCGTTCTCCATTTCTTGTCGGAAGATGGGGGCTTTGGCATAACCTGGGCTTCCCAGAAACAAATGGATAACTGTTTACTTTCATGACTAAACTGTCCCTGAGCAGCAGACTTTGGATGCTGTGTCACTGCACCGGCATAGAAATGTCAGCCTGGATTTTATATTACAATGCCATTGATAGATGCGGCTACATATATTGTATGAAGGGAGAGTGACAGCATGACAAGGGGCACCTGTTGGCATTACATCACCCTCTGGAGGCTTGGTCTGAACAAAGCTACAGGTCATGAGAGAGATGGGTGTCGGCATGTCCAGGATAATCGATATTGATATTGTTGTCGTTTGGTTGTCAGTAGGAGTTCAGCACTGAATTCTGAAAGTCGTGTCTTCCCTGGAGTCACGGATGCACAGGTCTAAAAGTTTGTGTCTGGTGACAAATTAAAACTGAATCTGACTGTAGTTACAGCCCTGCTCTTTTTGGAGTGTGTGGGAATTTTATTTACACAGACTTTACTTACACTGAAAAATAATTGGTTCTGAGAGAGAACCAATCACATTGTAGAGGAGGTGGGTCCAAGCAACTAGAAGAGGTGGGACCAACAAATCAGATGTCTTAGTCCTGCCTCCTTTACAATCTGATTGGCTCTCTCTCAGAACCAATCATGTAGCATGATAAATCACATGATGTCCGGCTCTTCGGTGTTGGACGTTATTTCATGCCTGATTACCTCGGATTGTGCTTCCTTGGCAACCAAAGTCCGCACGATTCCTGCTGAAATTCTGGGCGACTGCCAATTAATGATAAAACAGAACAGCCTACAAAACACAAAACAGAGTGAACTGCTTTTTAAGTTAGGTTTTTTTTTTTGGTTTGTTTTATAAACCCTGAGCATTTCAAAGCCAGTGTTGTCCTTCCCTCTTAATGAGATTCGCTCGTTACATTTCTGGTTGTGGCAACAGGTATTTATGAAACGAAATATCTAGTGTCAGTGTCACAGGTGTATTCATATTCTCACCTGAGTTCGCTAAGCAAACAATAATAAAGAAGTTCCCATCTCTGGTCTGGTTGCTTGGCCATGAATAGATTTAATGTTTGAAAACTTTCCAGCGTCTCATCTAGGCTGTGGCCATGCGCCACATCTGTATCGTCGCATCGAGCTGACGTACAGCCAGGCAGCCGGGGGACAGAGGCCAGATTAAAGGCCCCGTTTTGAACGTAAGCAGACGGAACGTATGACTCCTGCTTGGCGTGTCGTTAAGCGCGGTGACGGCGGTGAGACGGGCCCCGGTCTCCGAATGTGATGCACTTGAGTGCTGAAGAGCAAAAGCAAAGTTTGCTGTAGCCTCCTTGTGGGAGGGGGGTCCTTCTGCTGCACCCCACCAGCTGGTCGTCTCAGACAGCTGGCTACGGTTCTGTTGTCTTTCCTTTATTAACACGAGCACTCAGGACACATAAAGGAACGCAAAGCACATAGCATTCAGGCACAAGACAAAGGCAAAAATAATAGGCTAGGCGTGTCAGTACCACAGTCCACATAATGCGGTGCAGCTGCATGCGGAAGCGGTGATGTCATGCGTGTTGTACATAAAAGATAAAAGATGCAGAGATGTCTGGGTAAAAGCAACGCAGCCCCCAGGGTTGCGGGTTCGAATCCTGCTACCTTATGTGCTTCTGGCCCTTTTCCAGTGGAGAACCATAGTGCCCTCATGCAACCTGGAATTGCTGTTCTACTGCAGTTTAATCAGAATCCGGATCTTTCCTGCCACGCAACCAAAACCGGTGACAATTTTTTGTTGACACAGCTTGCTGCTGTTGGAGACACCATGACAATAGACATTAAAAAATTAGGGCATAACGCAGATAGAGAATAAAGACAAGATGCAAAATACACAACAGAGAGGCATAAATCCGAGGAATGCGATGAATACAGCGGTCTGCGTAAATTCAAGCAGCGCAGTGTTGAAAGATGACAGAGGCACAATACAGACAACATACATCCATACATATAGTGCAAAGCGTATGTGACATGCAGTGCGATTATAATGT